AGAGGGTAAATTGACTGTTCCTTGTGAATCTTGCTGCATTAGCCAATGTAAGAATCAGAATATTTAGAACTGATAGTTCTGGTATTGCAGTTTTTATAAGAATTGTGTGTTTTTTTTTCTTACAAATAGTTTGGAAATTACAATTTCACTTCCTCTTTGCATAGGGAAAATTAGTGCTTATCTTTGTCACAGAATTGGGTAGTTAGTGGTTACCTTGAAATAATTATTTTTGTTTTTCATCAGAAAAAAGTCATGCCTATTATGATTAGAGTTCATAAAAAAAATTTCCTAAAAAATTGAGTCACCTATATAACTGTCATTTTAGTGCAAAGAAAATTTTTACTGTTACAAATCATAAAATAATTCAAATTAGTTACGAAAAGAGTAATGGAAGCTTTAAGAATTTCTGATTAAAATGTATTATGTATGGTAGTTATTGAATAAAATGAATAATGTTTGAAGTTGAAATCCTACAAATTTAAAACTGTTTTTACTTCCTTTTTGCAAGTACATTAATAAAAAATTCTATTACATATATTTAATTTATTGAACTTTCCTATAAGTGTAATCTATGCAAAATCACTTTTCTTGGTCAAGAACAGGCCTCACCTGATAGCTTTGAATATTTTGCACCTATTCAGGTATTGATTAGTGACCAACAAACACTTTAGCGGATTGCTAAATAGAAGAACTAGAGGACACCAAATGAAATTAATGGGTAGCAGGTTTAGAACTAATAAAAGAAAGTTCTTCTTCACACAGCGTGTAGTCAATCGGAACTCCTTGCCAGAGGAGGCTGTGAAGGCTAGGACTATAACAGAGTTTAAAGAGAAGCTAGATAATTTCATGGAGGTTAGGTCCATAAAAGGCTATTAGCTAGGGGATAGAAGTGGTGTCCCTGGCCTCTGTTTGTAAGAGGCTGGAGAAGGATGGCAGGAGACGAATCGCTGAGCATGGTCTTCAGTCCACCCTCTCTGGTGCTGGTCACTGTCGGTAGACAGGCTACTGGGCTAGATGGACCTTTGGTCTGACCCAGTATGTCCATTCTTATGTTCTTATGCCAACTCCTAATTTTAGGAATTAAAGGTCCTTTTCTGACGCTGCCATGTGCAGCGTAAAATACAGTAAACTTCCGATAATCCGGCACCTTTAGGACCAAGGGGGTGCTGGATTATCAGATATGCCGGACTATCGGAAGGGGGGGCTATGAGGTGTCTGGGGTGGATTGGGGTGATGTGCCTCTCGGAGCTGCGGGACCAACCTGGCAGCACCCCAGCTGCTCTGCCCCAGACTTCCCCAAGTCCGCTGCTGCTCAGCACCACCCCAACTGCTCTGTCCCAGTATCCCCAAGTCAGCCGCTTGCTGAAACTGACCAGCGGCTGAACCGGGGAAGCCGGGGCAGAGCAGCTCCAATTGTCCAGCTGCCCGGAGCATTTCCGGGTTCCAGATGGTGCCGGACCATCAAGAGTGCCGGGCCATTGGTAGCCAGACCACTGCAGTTTTACTGTATATAGATATTTTTGTAATGCAACAATAGTCAGAATTGTCTGAAGTATGAATGCTAATAAAAATCTTATTGCTTGTCTCTCTTTATGTGTATGACATATACTCAACTTTTCTTAGAAAATGTATTCTTGCAGAAACAGAATTGTATTTTTGTTTATTACACTGACTTTGGTACAGGATTGTGCAACAAAAGGAAACAACGTTGGGATAAATCAAATTGTTTCTAGTATTTTGCTACAGCAATGCTTTTGGCAGGTTAAAATTACTGGAGGACTGTGACTTCTGTGCATTTTGAATTAGGATAATTCCATTTTAAGTAAGCTTTTGTTTTCAGCATGTTTTGAAATAACCAGCATTTTGCTAGAACTAGAAGTTTGTGCTGGACATTTTCTATAGTACTGATGTATCCTGATAAGTGATAACTTCACCTATTTGGTCATTCTGATACTGTTTGGCTGTGTCTAGACTGGCATGATTTTCCGCAAATGCTTTTAACTGAAAAGTTTTTCCGTTAAAAGCATTTTCGGAAAAGAGCATCTAGATTGGCACGAATGCTTTTGCGCAAAAGCATCTGTGGCCAATATAGACGGTTTTGCGCAAAAAAGCCCTGATCGCTATTTTTGCCATCGGGGCTTTTTTGCGCAAAACAGTTCTGAGTTGTCTACACTGGCCCTTTTGCACAAAAGCATTTGTGCAAGAGGGCTTTTTCCCTAGCGGGAGCATCATTGTATTTATGCAAGAACACTGACGATCATACATTAGATCCGTGGTCCCCAACACGGTGCCCGCGGGCGCATTTCAATGCGCCCGCCAGGTGCTCAGGGCTGGCCTGGCCCCGGGCACATGGCGCATGGGCGCTTGCGGGGGGAGCGCGCTTGGCGGGGGGAGCGCCGGGCGCGCGGCATTTGGTGGGGGCGGGCGCCTTGGAGGGGACCCCGCCCCCGGGCACGCGGCAAGGGGGGGGCCCACCCCCGAGCGCCCAGCGGGCAAACGGCCACGCCCCCTGGCGCCCGACAACCTCAAAAGGTTGGGGACCACTGCATTAGATCGTCCGTGTTCTTGCGCAAATTCAAGTGGCCAGTGTAGACAGCTGGCAAGTTTTTGTGCAAAAGCTGTTGCTTTTGTGCAAAAACTTGCCAGTCTACACTCAGCCTTTAAGTTTTCCAAGCTGCTCCAGCTCCCCCTCTATGTATCATTTTCATCTTACCACACAGTTTCTTCTCCCTCCCCTGGCTGTGTTTCCTCCAGGACTCTGTAGTATTCTCCCCCTTATCTTTTTGTGTGCTACTCTGAAATCTCCTTTCATCCTGATGTTCTCCAAAGTTAGTCAGGGCTAGGTTGTTTGTAACTATCTTATGTTTTTTGTGTGATAGTGTAATTGTTTAAATAAAGTAGTTCTAGGACTTAATTGTGAGCTTTGATACAATTTCTGGTCTTTGTAAAGAGCAAAAAAATAGAATCACTGGCCTCTCCAGATGGGCAAGACGCTAGAAGTCTGAGGAACCACTATGCATGCTGCATTTCAATGACTAGCTATACTCAATTAATTTTCCATATTGTATTTTAAATATAGCAGTGGGAAGTGGTTAGCCCGGTCAGTTTGCTGTATCTGAAGGTTTTAGTAGCAGAAGTAGAGCTTTCTTTGTTCTTCTGCTGTGTGTACTTTCTAGTAATGCCATTATAGCCTGTCACAGATGTGACACAGATCTTCATTGTTTCCTGCTAAGGTTTCTTTGTTGCCCTTGTTGTTCCCAGTAGGAAATCTAATGTACTGATTAAAATCCTAATATGAATGTCCTTATGTCAGTGTGAGTATGATTTGATAAAATGGTTCTGACATCTCTTAAATTTTGAGAATTTCCAATTTATTTTAAGAAAGTTTTGAGAAAATTATTCAGGAGAGAAAATTGTCGAGACTGGTTTGAAAAATTAGTTTACACTGGCTTACTCAAAATACAGGCCATGTCTACACTGTGTTCTTTTTCCAGAAAAAGATATGCAAATTGTGAATCACAATTTGTTTACCTTTTTCCACTCTTTTGGGGGGGGGAAGAGGCTTTTCTGACATTTAGTCTGTCTACATGGGGCCAAATGTGGGGAAAACTTCCTCTTTTGGAAGATCCCTTATTCCTCATAAAATGAGGAATACAAGGTTTCCGAAAAAAACACACCCGCTTTTTTGGAAACTGTTCCGAAAAAAGTATGCATTCCCTGGACGTGGCAGAGTTTTTCAGGGATACCAGAGGTAGCCCAGAAAAACTCTGTAGTGTAGACATAGCCTCAGCCTCTACAGGTCTATTTGATATCCTCTTAAAAACCTAATTTGGTCTTGATCGTTCTCAAAGTTGCACAATGCTATTTTCCAGTAATGTGGAATCTGACATGGAGATGAAGCAAAAGTTACTTAAAGTAGTTGCCTTTGTTTCAAAATGCATGGGATTGGGAAAGGTTTTTTTATGCACAAAAATAGTGAAGGGGTGACTTCTGATACTTTAAATATTAGGTTAATATTGAAGTTGGGTTATCCACCTGCACTAATCTGCATTGTGTGTGTAGAACAATAAATCTTACATCATACCTGCACTTTGATTAAATCTTATGTTCCTTTTGCCAAAATGAGCATTTATGCCACCATGTACATATAGGGTCTGTTGCATCTCTGACAGTGATAGAACTAATGGCTAGCAAAGTGACGCTGCTTGCATTTAAGGTCAGTGCCTATGACTAGGTAAACCAGACTTGCTCCTGTTTCTTCTACAGATGTTTTAATATGCTTAACATTATCCAATACCAGCAACTGAGGTAGTCTAAATACCACAGCAGGGACTGATTAGCTTTTTCAGATCACTGCCTTCATTTGCTATTTGCAAAGAAGCTTAATCCAGTGCTGGAGACCAGGTTTCCTGCTGTGCATTTCGGTAGCTTTCTCTCATTCTTTGTGTTCACAGTGGCAGGAATTAGTGAGAAGGTTTCTCCTACCTCAGAATTATAAACTTCAAAACAGTAATGATAGTGGGTGTTTAATGGACAGTGTGAAGAGATTGTGGGATTTTTGGTTTGCAGTTTTGTAAATTCATCTGCTGCTGTTCCCAGAAGGTTTAGGTGCAGAAATGCGTACAGTGTTAAATTTTGCACTTGATAATACTTGGTTTATATCCTTAAAGCTGGGCATCTGATAAACTTTTTTCTTATAGTGTGAGGCTGTGTGGATTCATTTGTTTTCCTGAAACAATTTAAACTTCAAATACAACTTGCATAAATAAATTAACTATACTAACAAGAGCATATTTATATTATGGGATCTCTATCAACCACAGCAAGTGGCCTCAAATAGATTTCCTCTGCCTGTGAGAATGGACAAACAGATGCTTCTGCTTGATTTTTCAGTATTGCTCATCTGTGCATTGAATAGAACTGAAAGTTGTTTAATATACTAGTGTCTGAGCCTTCCCCGTGTGGGGGGGGGGGGGGGGAGGAGGGGCAGTAAAGGCAGAGGCATAGTGTGGGGACCAGGTACAAGCTGGAAATCTGCTGATTCCTAGTTCATGCCCGGTCCCCCCAATATGCTTCTGCCTTTTAAATGTATTAAGAGCCTAGCAGCTCTTAATACATTTAAAAGGCAGAGCTGCAGCAGAGTTAGCTCCCAGGGTTGGGAGTTAACCCCGCTAGGCTCTGCAGTTTCCCCCCATATATATTAATTGAGTAGTCGATGACTGGTTTAATGTAATTAAACATCCCTACTTTGTACATATTTTTGGCCTTTCTGACAATAACTAGAGGTCCAAGATGGTCAGTTTGGGGTGTGTGCAGAAAGGTTTCCTTTGCCTCCAAGGTAGCATGTAGCTGTTGTCGTGTTGCTAAATGCAGTAAATTGTAGGTCTTTTAATATACATTTGTTTAGGACGTTTTCTTTTAGCTTAGAAACATTCTGTCTCCACAAGAAGGAAGAAAAATTCTAAAACCTACTTTCCTACTGACTTTTTCCAAAACATTTATTTATATATTTCATCATCTGTACAAACTATAGGAAACCAGGGAGATTTCCGCTTCAAGTGTAAATCTGTAGAGCAATTTTTTTTTCTTACAAACACATGAACATTGGTGATTGCAATAAGTAAATTTATTATTGTGGTGGTGCTATCACAGTCCCTCTTTCCTTTCTGTAAGTTTATTAATGTTCTAATGTCATTAGTTAGAAAAAATCCCACATTTGAAAATTAGAATTTATATTTTTACAGTTTAATCATTTATCAAAAGTTTTTCCACTGAAATACTTTAAACATTGTATTCGGTTTTATTTGTGCATAAGAAGTTCTTTAGGCTTACTGGTTCATAAATAAAAGTAAAGTTTCAGGAAATTCATAGAGTGCTTTTGAATATATTTACGTATTTGAATGTATTTATATTGGCTCCTTAGCAGACCTCCTGTTGCAATAGATCAATGATGATTTATTTTACTAACAGGAAAATGAGAATATACACAATCACTGCTGTGACTTTCCCAGCAACAACTACAAATTTTTGTAATAGACTACGCTATATCCTTTAGGTTTTGGTTTTTATAGAAACTTATAATTTTTACTACTTAAAAATTATTCCTTTCTTTGTTTCATGCATTAGAAACAATGAGGAAAAGCTGAAGTCTGCCCAAGCCAGGTGTTTCTTGTTGGCAGCCTGCTCCCTAATGACTCTGGCGCTCATACAGCAGCTGCCTGCTAGTCTCCTTTGTATGGGCTATTGTTACTGCACACCCCTCCTTAATACACATGCTGCCTGGGGCAGACCCTGAGAATGACATCAACTTGCTTATCTTAGAAACCTACAAACCTGATGCAGGGTGGGGAGGTTGCCTTGCATCTGCCTGGTCAACTAATTGTAAATTCTCTGGCCTATGATTGGCTGTTGTTCCACTCAGTAATAGGTTAAGCAAAGACACTGCCATTCCATCTGTTCAACCATTCATTGTTCTGCTTGCTTGCCTGGAAGTCTGCAGCTGAAATTGTGTTAAGGAGTTGCTTCTGGAACTGCTACAAGAAACCACTGTCTCTGTGTATTCCAGCTAATGTAAGTATTTGGATTACTCTCTGCAGGGATTGAAAAGTTTCACCATTCTCACACTTCCATATGTCAGTTTGCATTCTAAACAAAATAAATAGCCATACACATCACAAAATTTCCAAATTTGGGGTGTCTGGGGAAAAAAAGAATTGACATCTGAAAAATAATTGCATGAAGGGGGGATATTTAATTTGATACATTCTGGAAGGAACTTAAAGGAGCATCAATAATGTATTGCTAGGGTTGGAAATGACAGAACTCTTCAGCACTCTAGATTTGAGTAACTTGAGCTTGAGTTTCTATGTTTTATCACATGCAAATATGCTATAGTCATTTTTCTTTTGGCAAAAAGTATTTTGTGAATTTGCCCATTTTACTAAATTATGGTGAAATTTTAAACATTTTGCTGAGGAACATAACTTTGGGACAATGTCTGGATTTAAAAGGAAGGATATAACATTAGTTCTTTGGGGCTACTCTCAGGTGGTAACCTGATCAAGTCAAAGCCTCTGTGATTTCAAAGTAATTTTTAGGTTTTATAAAATTAGCCAACACAGTTTTATGGACTTTTTAATCTATTTTGTTTTATATTTTGGGTTCAGATATTAGGTTGAAGAATACATACAATGTACACTCCATGAACCAGTGTGCTCCAAGGATTCTCTAAAGAAAAAACACTACAAAGACCTTCATATACCAGTTGGGAGGGGGAAAGGGCACATAAAAGGGTTAAAAAGAGGTTTGCATTTCTACCACATGCCCTATTGTGTGAACATATGCATAAGTCTATTGAAAGTTTTCCGAAGATGGGCAGGCCACCAGTTGCTGGTCTCCTGCAGTTCTAGTAGACATCTGTTGCCCCAGAGCATTAACCAATCTGTTCAATGGGACATCCTTCCTTTGTTAGATAGAGTGATGCAGACAACAGTACTCCCTGAAATACAATGGTAATTAAACATACAGAAACTACTGCGGGAGGTATTTATTACATATTCATTATTTTATTTGCATTGTTGCAATATCTTTGCCATTTGGGAAACTAGGACATTTGTTTCTATATTGGTAGTCTGTGTAAAGTTGTGGGTTTTTTAAAACAAGCTGTGGATTAAATATTTACTGCTTGCTGTAGAAGATCTAGGAATAATTTAAATATTGTGTTTAAAAACAATCACTCTAGTTCATTGTTGCAGGATTTGTCTTTAAAAACTTGGGAGCTCTTTTAAGAACACAAGCAATTACTATTATAAAAAATGTGTCACATCACACTATTTCATTACTTGCTTTTTCTGCCATGTAAATTTACTTTAAACCACTCTTACGAATTTCAGCTGAAATTGGACAACTTTCATAATATTAAAAGTTTAGATGATCTATTTGCACTTGACCTCTTGAACAATATAAATGTCTAGTTCAAAATAAATTAATGTTAGTAGTTAGAAAATAGTTGTGCTACTGAATTTGAAGAACAGTAGATGGAAAAAGGATGCAATTCTGTAACAATGGCATCGTATTCCTCAATAGTGTTAAATATAAATCTCTGACTTAACAAATGTTTGATAAATGTGTGTTTGGTGATTATAGTAATCCTGTAGTAATGGAGCCTGTCTAAAATATGAAGCTGCATTTGGTTTTATAGCTTTGGGGTGGAGGGGCATGGTTTGCTATCTTTATGGTATAAAGAGTGTAAGTACATATAGTTCATAAATTTAGAATCCTTTTTTTATTCAGTGTAATGATTGGATCATTTACCACACAATAGCTACTGGAGATTATCTATTTTATATTTCAAATTTTTATAAATTAAAAAACTATTAGCTGTTATATTGAAAGTATATAAAATTAAGAATATAATTTAGTTAATAGGTATATATCTTTGGCCACTCATTTGTGTTGATACACTTTTTATTGTTATTTATTATATATGCACACATGTATAAGGCACTCAAAATAGTGCATGGCAGATATTCCCATCTAGATTATGTGGTTGGTATCTATAAAGTTATTTTAGAAAACCATGTTCTCAGTATAAGAGTTTTATTGTAAATAAAGGACACGCAGAGAGCTTTTACATTTTTGTTACTGTTTGAACAAATTCATTCTCTTCAGTTCTTGTAGGCTTCATTATGTTGTCAACAGGTGTATTAATTTTACTGAAATAATCAAAAATAATGTAAGTTAGCGTGCACAGGCAGAGTTACTGGCATTCCTCTCTTGACTCTCTAGCTCAAAGTAAAATAATAAATTCGAGTAGTATTTAATTGTGATCTTTAATTTTCATAGTTCTAATCAATGCTGCATAGACTGTACTGGAAGCTCCCAGTACAAAGTCCTAAGGAGGTATTGCAGCAATTTATTTGCTGTCTATTACAGATGCTGAAGAATTTGTCTAAAGACGCATAGAACTTATATGCAAGCCTGACAGTAGGAGTAGTATGCTGCTTATGCAAACTTAAAGGTAGTATTTCAAAATCCTTATTCTTTGTGATTGTAATGGACTTTTTAAATTAAACCAATAGTTAAAATATCAATAGTATGCCTAGTCATTTAAATTCTATTTGTGTTGGCTTTAAAAGCTTCAACTGCTATAGTATCTCTCTAAATAATCTTTGCAGAAGAGGTTACTCACACAAAGCAATAACTGAGGTTCTTTGAGATGTCATTGTGAAAGAATATGATGTTTATAGTTATTATAAAATTTTAATGAGAAACAATTAGAATATGACAGCCAGAAATAACTGTATGTGAATTTTAACCAATTTAAATGCATCTCAAGATACTGTCCAAAAGAAAAGTATTTCTTTTAGTTCACTGCTAAAATGGCATTTCGCAGTACATGAATTTGGGCAGTGACCCATTATCTTGGTGTATTCTATTAGGGCAATACATGAGCTGACCCAACTTTTCAGTCCAGCTTAAAAATGTTGCCCATTAAATATACTTCCTCCAGTCAGAGCAGATTGTGGGGTTTATGGAACAATGATGTCGGAGCGTCCAGATTGGTTTGGCAGCTGCATTGTTCTCAGAGGGTAAACCAGACGCACTTAAGTCCCAGTCTTTTTCATAGGCTTTTGTTCATACCAAATTATTCCTTCACTGTGCTAGCATTCATGATGGCATGTTAAAGAAGTGCTTCCTAGCAACTAAAGACTGGTTGCTAGGCAGCATAGCTTCCAATAGGTTTTTCTTGTTTAAGATACTTTTCGGTGTCAGTTCTATGAAGGCCACAGTGCCAGTTTTTAACTGTATCCTTTTATTGAGATACTGTTGTGATTTGTTACTGGCACTAGGCTATCCAGTGTATTACAGTAGTTAATAAATCACCAAGTGTAAAGGTTCATTTCCTAAATTCCCTTTGTATTTAATCTGTAGTATTGCTTGAACTCATAAAGATCCTTATAAAGAAAATGAACGTTGACTCATAAGAGATAGTATCACAGCCTTTTAACTAAATCAGGTCTCTACTGAAAAATGTATTATTTTAACCTTTGCCAGTATAAACTAGATTAAACTGTTTTGAAACATTTTCTTTGGCTTCAAACCAAAAATGGTAAGTTATCAAGTAGGACTTTTTTTTTTTTTTTTTAAAGTAAATACAGCTATTTTCTAAATACTGCTGTGGAGATATCCTAACAGTGCATTTACAATCTTATATTAAATCATTAATGGCATTTTCACTTAGCTCACATTTGTCTTGAGAGAAGTCTTCGTGAGTTCTCATATATATACACTGCATACTTTATTTTTCCATTAAATGGAAATAGACTATGCAAGTGACTCATTACTTTTAAATACAGTATATACTATTTGTTTATGGGGATGGGGATTATTTATTCACATGGAAGAAATTTTGTATCTTGGGTAAATTTTAACTATGAATAATTAATAGAGTGGAGAAAATGGGGTTACTTTTGATACAATGATTTATTTCTGTGTGACTTCAATAATCTGGTTTGTGGCTACCCTATACATGACATTCAAGCACTGCCTTTTGTATGTGTGTATTGCTTAATTTTTGCCCTACATGAACTAGAAGAGCTGTTGTTAATTTTCTGTTTCACCTTTATCAAATACCTGTTGTTATTTTAGTGTTAGTCCTGTAACATGAGCAATGTAGCCCACTTTTAACAATGAGAAAGAAATAGGTATTTTACTTTTTAATAATAGGAACAGTTCTGCTTCATGCCAGAATTCTCATTGAAGAGAACCAGTAAAGGAAGTAATAGGTCCTTTTTCAACAAATTATTAAGGTAACTTTTTGGAAGAAATGATATTTGAAAAAATGTTAAATTACAACAATCTGAACTTCTCCAGTAAACTTGGGTGGGTGGAGCTTTTATGAGGCACAGAAAATTATAACTTGCTTTATACCATATACTTTCCCATCTCTACATTTAGGTGCTGATTCAGTGATGTACTTATGCACATGCCTAAGCTTAAGCAAATGACTAGTACTGTTGTTGAAATTAATATTTAAGTGCTTTACTGGATTGCTTTCATTTACTTCAGTAAACGTTGCATCATCCCATAGTTATTACAAGTCTTGAACTTCTGACTAAAACAAAACTACTTTGAGAATTTTCAAAGTGGTTCTTGATTTGGCTTGGACTTTATAAAGGAATTTAGAAATGTGTAGGGATGATTACCTGTCTGAACAAATACTCTTGTTTCATAGGACCCATTTCTCTAAAATTAACCCATTTTCATAAAATTGCTTTGTGACTGAGACACCCCTTCGTGACCACCACTTGATGGGCTGAAATACCACTGAGCCTACCTTCCTGTACTCCTGGGCACTCGATAACTCTGTCCTGCTGAGCCAAGCTCTTTGGCCTCCTCCCTCACTGAAAGGGGTAGGATCGCAACCCTTTGCAGTATAATAATGATACGGAGTCCATATCAGCTCTTGGAATGCTCAGCCAAAAGAACTTGCCTCTGCATCTAAGTGCAGAGCCTCAATGGGACCTGTACCCTAAATAAATTCATTTTACTCTGTATAAAGTTTTATACAAGTTAAGATCATGTTTGGCTTCTTTCTCACGGTAAAGAGAGAGATGCACAGATTCCTCCCATACCCCATCCCACCCCCATAACAATTTCTTACATTGGATTTATTTATAAATAAGAGATTTTATTAAGTATGAAATGTAGTATTTAAGCAATCATAATAGATAGCAGACAGAACAATGTAGGTTATTAAACAGAATATACAAGCTAAACTTAATACACTAAGAAACTGGTTACATATAATATCTCACCCTTAGAGTTACTCTGATTGAAGAGCTTCAAAAAGATTTCACCAAGCCAAGTGATTGGGCAACAAAATGGCAAATGAAATGTAATGATGATAAATGTCAAGTAATGCACATTGAAAAAAATAATCCCAACTATACATGCAATATGATGGGGACTAATTTAGCTACAACTACTCGAGAGAGATCTTGGAGTCATTGTGGATAGTTGTCTGAAAATATCCACTCAATGTGCAGTGGCAGTCAAAAAAGCAAATAAAATATTAGGAATTATTAAAAATGTGGAGGCAGGAAAAGGGAATAAGGGAATTTGTGTGCAGCCATCTTGGTCTTGTTAACAAGAGAGCAAGAGTCAGGCTAAGTCTGTGGCCTGACAACGCGAGATTTGTAATTAGACGCTGCCTTCGCCTCTCGCCTCTATACGGAGATAAGGATAGAATGCTGACTCTGGTAGGGACCTTGAGATAAGGAGCATCTGGGTGGAACTAAATAACTGTTAGCCATTGGTGTTTGTAATGGGAAGGAGACTAATTGTTATTGTTATTATATTTAATAGACAGTATATAAACTGCTTCATAATTGCTTGCATTCGAAGATCTGCCTCGGTGGGGGGGGGGGACCCCCCCCCTGTCCGAACCAGTTTTTCCCTTGCTGCAGCTCGTAATAAAACTGCCTCTGGCTACTTGTTGCTTACAAACTCAGAGTGAGGACAATGTTTTCTTCCACAAAAAAGAGATGGAGAACAAGACACTGAATATCTTATTGCCTCTATGTAAGAACTAGGGGTCACCATGGTATGCCCACATCTTGAATACTGTGTAAGATGTGGTCGTCTCATCTCAAAAAAGATATATTTGCATTAAGTTCCTTGAGTTCTAGTAATGGCCCTCACTTAGTATGGCTAGATTAGCAACACTGGTTTATACTTCCTATTTCTAATTTCAAATACAGAAATGATGCAGGCATACAAATGGAAAGTCCTGTTTGGTAGATTATAACGTTCCAGTGATACCTTACATGAGGTATTTTGCATAAAGCATATTCCATTTATGCCATTTATATTCATAAGCATATTTTTATAACACATATGGAATGTCCCGTGACAAGCTTCTTAAGCATATTTGCCTAATTAGTGAAATATACTGGGGGGGGGAGCCAAGGACCTACAGACCAGTTAGCTTAACTTTGATATCTGTAAAGTTAGAAATTATTAAACAATTTATAAGCACCTAGAGAATATTTAGTTTATATGTGATAACCAACATGGATTTGTCAAGGATAAATCATGCCAAACCAACCTAATTTCCTTCTTTTGACGGCATTACTGGCCAAGTGCATAGAAAAGAAGCTATAGACTTTATAAATCTTGATTTTTAGTAAGACTTTAACACATTTCCACATAACAGATTTATAAGCAAATTGGGAAAATGTGGTCAATATAAAATGACAATAGGGTGGCTACAATACTGGATGTAAGACAGTAATCAGAGCAATTGTTTGCTGTCAAATGGAGGGGAGGTGGGAGAGTATCTAGTGGGATTTCATGGGAGTCTTTCCTGGCTCTAATACAATTCAGTATTCTCATTAATGTTTTGATGGTGGAGTGGAAGGAATAATTATCTATCTACAAGCTATGTAACACCAAGATGGAAGGTGTTGCTAGCACGTTGGAATTAGAATTAGAATTCAAAATGACCTTGACAAATTGGAGAATTCGTCTGAAAGCAACATGCTAAATTCAAGTAGAAACAAATGCTAAGTACTACACTTAAGGAAAAATTAAATGCACAACTATAAGATGGGGAATAACTCAATACTATAATACTTCAGAAGAGGATTTGGGAATTACAGTGAATCACAAATTGAATGAGAGCCAACAATGAGAAGCAGTTGCAAAAAAAAAAAAAGGAAATGTCATTCTGGTGTGTATTAAAAGGAGTGCTTGTACATAAAACGTTGAAATTATTACGCCACTTCCCTTGGCACGGTGAGGTCTCAGTTAGAGTATTGTGTCCAGTTCTAGGCACCACACTGAAGAAAGATGTGGACACATTACAGTGAGTTCAAAGGAAAACAACTAAAATTATTTTTTTAAAATTGAAAAACAACGTATGAGGAGAGGTTAAAAAAATTGGTTATGTTAATGTTGAGAAAAGAAGACTGAGAAAGGATCTTGATAAGTGATCAAAGATATTGAAAGATGTCATAAAGACAATGGTGGTCAATTGTTCTCCATGTCCACTGAAGGTAGGGCAAGAAATAATGGGCTTGATCTGAAGCAAATGAGATTTGTTATTAAGGAAATCTTTCTAATTATAAGGGTAGTTAAATTCTAGAATAGGCTTCCAATGGAGGTGGTGGAATCCCTGTCATTGGGGACTTTTAAGAAGAGGTCAGACAAATACCAGAGGATGGTGTAGATGTTCTTGGCTCTGCCTTAGTGAAGGAGGCTAGACTAGATGACTTTCTTAGGTTCCTTCCAATCCTGTCTTTATATGATTGTGATAATATGGTTTATAGCTACATTTCTTATTCATTACACTATTTAGTAATATTATATTTGAGGGTGTGTCCACACTGGAAAATAAACACACAGAAGCCCATCTCAGACCTCAAGTCATCTGCCTTGGGCCCACAGTATGGGGATAAAAATAATATAGATACTCCTGCATAGACTGGATCATGAACTCTGAGATCCATTCTCTTTGCATGGTTTCAGAGACTGGGCTCCAACCTGAGCAGGAATATTTACACTACTATTTTTAGTCCCATAGGGCCTATGCAAGTCAGCTGACCCAGAGTCTGAGACTGACTGCCACATTTTGGGGGTTTGTTTGCTCTACATTGAAGACATATCCAATGGCAGAATATCACTGTTACTTAAAACTGAACAAAAGACTCCTGTCCAAGTTAACATTTTTAGTGGCTAGTTTCCTGACTTACACAGTTCTTTTATTTTCAAACAGCTTTTAAGGAAAACCAGTTTATAGAAAATCTATTTTTTTAATGTATTCATTAGTTTAGAAATATAAATGTTTTATGAAAACTGAACAGAGTATAGTTAATCAAACAGGATTGATTTTATTGGAAAGTTCTCTGTTTGAAGAAGTGTGTTTACATGCAGCAAGTTTGTCCAGATTGTTTACAAATGTAGCCCAACTTTAAGTGAAAAGGGAATTTCCTTGAATGTGAAGGTATTTTTAGGTTAGCAATGAAGCCAGCGCGTCAAATGAAAAATCAAGAAAACACAATAAAAGTGCTAACTAGTTACAACACTTTTATTTCTTCTATAGGAATACAGGACACTTTATATTCAGGAATACAGGAAAAACAGCAAAGTGGAGTCGAGTACATGCAGCAGCTTCATGGGCTTGAAGGATCACCTGGGGCATGACCTAAGCCATCTTTATGTGCAGCGTGCTGACACACAAATAAATGCAGTTGGACCTTGGTCAATGGTGGAGAAACCAACAATGGATAAAGTCAACTCTAGGAAGGAAGATGCAAATAAGGAGGTATCTGAGGAGACTGAAAGCTCCAGTTGTGATTCAGAAGAGAGCACAAATTCTGATAATGAGTCAGAAAGACTGAATAACATTACAGCAGAATCACATTTACTACCTAAGACTCACCGACAACTGTGCAGGTCTCCCTGCTTAGACCCTCATGTTCTAAAACGTAATGAAATTTTACATGACCTTAAGATAGAGGAGGCTCAGATCATATCTAAGGAAGCAAAGAAGCCCCCTGATGTGGTGAAGGAATATCAAACCAAACTGGAGTTTGCACTTAAGCTAGGTTACTCTGAAGAACAGGTTCAACTTGTGCTAAATAAGCTTGGCACTGATGCTTTAATCAATGATATTTTGGGAGAGCTTGTAAAACTTGGAAATAAAACTGAAACTGACCAGACTGTAAATAATATTAACACTAATGTAATGCGTGAAGCCTCTTCCATAGAGTCTCAGAGGTCTGAGTCTCCACTTCAGGAGGATGTGACTGAAGATGGAGATAACCTGAGGCCAATAGTTATTGATGGCAGCAATGTGGCAATGAGGTATGTGGCAATGAGGCATTGAATTACTGATATGTTATCTTATCTATTATATGGAAATTGCATTATCTTGTCCAATTAGATCACTGGTGTACTGTATGATTACACATCTATAACAGTACATTGGTTTTCATTTGTATAATTGCAGTTTGTTTATTTTTCATCAATACAGTATGCAAACACCTGTACACAAAGGGCCATTAGCCAATCAGAGCAGAGATTTGCATAATCTGTAATTGCAACCATACATTAATTATGCAGATCTCTCTACTTTGGCTATTAAATTCTCTCCACTGGAAAAGCAAACAATGAGGGGGCACATTTGATAAATTACATGAAGTTATTATCATGATGTGGAATCCAAAAAAGCTGTCAGGAACTTTAGTTTAGAGGGACCTAAAAAAGCTAGGTTTATGGGCAACCACAGCTAGATTTATGGGCAGCAACGTAATACAAGAACAAGGAAACAGTGAAAGACAGTAAATTCTAACCTGGTAAAAGAAATTCTTCCTTTATTGAATGTCAACTGTATCACTGAAGCCAGCACCATTTCTATGTATAATTGCACTATCCAAAGTTACCTATGATAGGTAAAATACCTGGGGTATTAGTCCCTCATGCTTCAGGTTAAAAGTCAAACACTAATGCATCGGATTAGTAAGAAATGTATCCTATTGGGTAGGTTATTTTACAATGAGGCGCACCTTTCCTCTGAAATTGCTGGTACTGGATCTTATCACAAATAGGATATTGAACTAGATCTTAACAGTAATTCCTGAGACTGTAGTCTTCAGAATTTGAATGATATGCCCATAGAAGAACATGTCTGCATAGTTCACACACCCATCTTCACCTGTAACTGTAGATACAAAAATACTCTTAGCTGAGGTAGGGGGCAGCAGGCCTTGTTTACTGAAAAGGGAGAAGTGGAGAACAGAAGTATTGAAGATACTGGGATGAGAAACATCAGAAATCCTGGTGGCCATACTTTGTGTGTGCATATGGCAATCAGAGCGCAGTTAACCAATTGTACCACATTATTTAGGAAAAGCAAGTTCAACATAGTAATAATTTCAGGATAGTAATTGTTAGCTTAATGATAAAACTTGATATAACTACGGGGCTTGAGGCATCTAATTTGTATTAATTGCATAGTAGAAGTTACTTAGTAAACAGAGCTTGTTCTCAAATGTAATTAAAGTGTAGACAAAATTCAGTTGATTTAAGTAATCAACATGTCAATGGAAGTTGCTACTTTTCCTCCCCCCAAAACTCTGGCCACTGGTATTTCCTATCAGCTCATCTTTTAATTTTTTTGGCCAACTTGCACATCTGTTTAGTTTTCTCCTAATTCTTTCCAGGTGATACAGCTGAAAAACACGACAGTGCGTCTTACTATAAAAGAGCCGGATGGCAAATACTGTTTTTGTTCAAGTTAACATAACAAGCAATCAGTATTCTAATACTCTAACTAAAAGAGATCAAACACTTTTGAAATATATCACCTTTTGAGTAAAATTTAATTTTACATAGTTAAAGAACTGTTTAGATGTGTACTTTTTAGCAAAAACAGCTACTGGTTTTGAAAGTCTGGCATAATAGTTTTTGCTCGTTGTTCTCTCATTACTTGTTAGAGCCAAATCCTTAACTGCTCTGTGACAGCTTTGTGTTCATCTGGTGATGCAAGTTGCCCTAATGATCACTGAACCAGTTTTAAAGATTACTTCTGTGTATGGGACTTCTCAGATGGTATAGGGTCCTTCCCCAGCACTTGAAAAGAGAGCATTGGTCAAAGGATCCCTGTGCCATAAGAATCCCTGACAGCAATTCTTGGAACCCAAAATGGCCCTTACATGCCAGGAGCAGAATCTTTATTCTTGATCAGCTTACTGCCACAGCACTAAAGCTATTTGAGGGGAGCAATACTGGCAAACTTTTTACAAGCCTCATTTCCCTACTAGGCATTCCTTGGAAGCAACTGAGAACCTGGTCTTCCATTTTTAATAGACACTTAACTCTTTATATAAATTCAGATATGTAGTCATTGCTATGTTCAGTTGCTGACTTAACCACTTTTGTGAAATGAATCAAATTTGAATGAATCCAATTTGATTAAAATAAGTGTGGGGTTTTTTTGGGGTTTTTTTTTCAGTGAGCTGCTGCACCAAAAAGTTGGATGCTTGCATTATCTTTTATGGATTTTTATAGCATGGAGAAGACTCTTGTGATAATTGTAGGGCTAGATTCTGTTTTTTACAGACTTCAAGATGTAGAGAGGCTGGGATGTTTTGTAGTGTGGAATTTTGGATGACTTTGCTACAATTCCTCTGTCTAGATCAGTGGTCCCAAAACCGCGGGGCCACCACACCCTAGGAGAGGGAGCACCACCCAGCCTCACTCTAACCATTACCTGGCCCTGCTACCAGCAGTAACCATAGGGAAAACTTTTCAAGTGACCCCTGGAGTGGCACAAACATGCTGTGCTATATAGGGTGCATCCAGTCCCTTTCCACCGTCAGTTCCTTCTTGCCACCAGTAATGGTGCTTGGAACTTTCTCACCTCAGCGTCAGCTGTCGCTCCCTTTTTCCAGTTCGTTGGACTCTGTTTTCCCTGTTAATAGTTCTTATTGTTAGTTAATTTACTGTTATCAGTTAGATAGTGTTAGGTTCCATTGGGACTTAGCCTTGGGTTGGGCCATGCCCTGGTCCCCGGGCTTCGTCGTGTCACAGTTGCCGTTGGCCCATGCCAGCTAGCAACCTCCACTACAACTGTTTCTGATACTTAGGAGAGAAACACATTATTGGTAAGTGCCACATTTGCAAATCGTTTAAGCTTCACACCAAAAAGTAGAGGAACATTTGTCTCAAAGCTCTCTAAATGGAATTCACTATAGCTCCAGTGTGTGACCAGTCGGGCTCTGCACGAAGAACAAGTGCATTGGTATGCAGCACTCCGCTGTTACCATTGGACACTCAGCACCATTCCCCAGCACCACGTAAACCTATCCTGGGCAGATCTCCGGGGCCCAAAAGGAATAAGGCCAAGATGCTGATCATAGCTGATGCTTCTGCTGCAGCCAGATTACCTCTAAGTTCTCTTTGGAGTGATGTTCCTCTTCATGCTGCACTGCTTCCTCCCAGAGTGGCATCAAACAGCTCCAGGTGCCATTGATGCTGAAGGCCTTACACAGCTCAGGACATAGTGTTGATGCCGGTGCCATCCACATCTGTAATTGTGGGACTGTGCCATAAAGGGAAACCTATCGTGGCACCACCTCAGTCTCTGCAGAGACATCGCTACCTCCCAAGAACTAGGGGTCACTAAATTAAATTAATAGGTAGCAGGTTTAAAACAAACAAAAGGAAGTACTTATTCACACAGCGCACAGTCAACCTGTGGAACTCCTTGCCAAAGGATGTTGTGAAGTCCAAGTCTATAACAGGGTTCAAAAAAGCGCTAGATATATTTATGTAGGATAGGTCCATCAATGACTGTTAGCCAGGAAGGGCAAGAATGGTGTCCCTAGCCTCTATTAGCTGGAAATGGACAATAGAGGATGGATCACTTGGTTACCTGTTCTGTTCAGTCTCTCTTGAACATCCAGCATTGGTCACTGTCAGAAGACAGGATACTGGGCTATATGGACTTTTGGTCTGATCCAGTATGGCTGTTCTTGTGTCTACAACCTTACCTCCATGTGGTGAGGGCTGCAGAGCATATAGTCCAATTCAGTTGCTTGAAAGATTCAGGGCTATAGAAGATTTGAAGAAAGGCTCTGTGGGACTTAGGTGCAGTTCTCCAGAAGCATGTCCCCTTCCACTGCATAGATGGTATACTCAGGACCGGTACTCCCCATAGCCATTTGAGGGATAAATCGCTGTCACCCCAGCACCACTCCCCAGTACCAGTTTCCCCACCACAAGTCTGTTAGGAGCGCAAGGGTTCGTGGCACTGCTCTTCGGGAGGTTGGTACTACTCCTGCGGCCACTCTCTCTGTCACTGCGAGTTGGCCAGTCATTGAGTTGACCTTATCCAGGGAACTGTTCTTGCTGTTCCTCCATGTCCTGGGCATCTTTGTTCCTGGTCTCCCAGCACTGCATGTTCCTTTAGTCTGGTCACAGATCAGGCCTTTGTGACTCTGGCTCAGGCACCCCTCCTAACACCAGTGAGTACCGGTCCTGAGTATACCAAATACACTTATTTGATTTCAATACAAGGCCAGTCTATGTTTTCTCATCACATGACTGTCCGGTTCCTGAGGGGTCTTGAGTGGCTCTTCCTATATTTACTGCCTCCTATTCCCCAGTGGGACCTTATTCTGGTTCTCCCCAGACTTACTGGACCTCTCTTTGAACTCATGTCCACGTGCTCCCTTCTGCACCCATCTTGGAAGATGGCCTTCCTGGTGGCAATTACATTGGCTAAGAGGCTCTCCAAGCTGCATGACTTGATTTTTCGAGCCCCTTACACTGTCTTCTTCTTTAAGACCAAGGTTCAGCTGCAATGGCACCCCACTTTCCTATGAGTGTTCACTAGATACTAAGCTACAAACCACCAGCCTCTCTGGCAGATACCACTGAAAAAGTTTTAACCAACCAATTCACTACTTAAGCCAATATCTGAAGATAATACAAGAGGACCAATTCATCCACTGTCTTAAATTTAGAGGACAAACTACAAGAGAAGAGATGTCAGAATATCTTAGAAAAATATGAAGATGATTAGATGGATTGAAGGCCATCAATATTATTTAAACCATCATGGTCTCTCCATTGACTTGTTAGTCCAGAACCTACCCACAGTGTTTATTTTCTCTGAATACACTTATTTGATATCAGATGATACTTTCTTACACTTAAGACATGGGCAGCTGTCATTGGAATGCTCTTTCAAGTTTGATTTTTCTTTTTGTAAAACATGGAAAAAGCATGTTTGGCAGCTCTGAAGAATGGGTATTTTAATTGTTGCTGTCCTCTCTGCTATATATTTATCCAAGCTAACT